CTTGAACCTATCCAGCAGATCCATAAGAGAAAGATGTAGCTATCTGCTTCCATATAGATTACAGCCTAGAAAACCCTGTCACATGGGGTTGCTATGAGTAGAAAAGTGATGGCCTCTAACAACTTCAACTATAGATCAACCACTGTTCTAGACAGGGAACAAAAAACTAAAAATTGCTGCCCTCTTAGAACTTATTTTCTAATGTGTTTAGCACTGGTATCCACAGCTCTGCTGGGCAGGTCCTTTATTCTTGTTCCTTAGTGGAGTGAGTGGGCCAAGAGATGGCGCTCCCAAAGACCAACACCCAAACTGCCTTTCCTGGGACTCTTCCCCACTGGGCCCCGCCCAGCCACATCAACTCCCCAAACATCCCACTCATTTTCATTTCCAGCATTTTGCATTTGCTGTGCCTCTGCCCTAAACACTCTTCTCACTTTCTTCCTCTGGTTCATGGCCCTCCTTCTTTGGGTCTCAACTTGCATGACACCTCTTCCAAGAGGCCTCCTGCCCTCCTCTGGGCTTCTAGGAGGATCCTGTGATTATTCCTATGACAGCACCAACCACACTGTATTATTATGGCCTGTTAATGTCCCACTTCCCATTAAGAAAGCCAGACCTGTGTCTTTTCATCACTGCACCCCTAGTGTCTAAACATGGCTGCCAAATGAATGGATAAACAATCAATGTAGGACAAGCTAGGAAAAGCTGGGCAGGGCACGGCTGGGCTCCAGGTGTTCCTCACTCACCCTACCTTCTCTTGTACCCACCTGCCTCATGAGCTCAGGGTTATTGAGCATGTGGCTGATCTCGGGATTCCGCTCCATCAGCTGCTGCATCTGGGGGTTGGCCATGATCATATGGCGCATCAGGTCAGGGTTAGACATCATATCCTGGACCAGGGGGTTCTCCATGATCTGCGACAGCATCTCAGGGTTGGACATCAGCTGCCTCTGCATCTGCTGCTGCAGCTCCATGAAGTTGGCAGAGCCCAGGCCCAGGCTGCCCAGCCCCAGGATGCCCCCAAAGCCAGCTGTGGGGAGGGAGCAGGGTCACAGCTCCAGCAGCCTTTCCCCCACTTCGCCAAACCAACATTCCGAACTCCAAAATGGAGCCCATCTGTTCTCTGCTTTTCCTTCATTTCCACTTACTCCCACAGCCTAGCCCTGATCCACTGTAAACAGACTATTACCTCTTTGACTGCAGAGGCTTAGATAACCCCAGAGCTGAGCACAGTACCTAGCACAGAGTGGGCAATCAGCAATCGCCTGAGTAAATAAAAATTCCCTGTTTTAGTTCATCTTAGGCCTACTTTTTTCCCAAACTCACAGGTTCTTCCAATATCCTCACCCAGGGCTCCCCGACATCTCCAGCCCCATTTTTCCCTTCACTGTTGACACTTAGCCATGCTCCCCTCCTCCAGGAAGCTGTCATAGACTAGCCTCCTCCCAGGTTTGGCTCAAATACCAGTGTTTGAACCCTATGTCCAGGGGTCTCCTATCCCCATCAGACCAGGATCAGCGACCATGTTTCTCCCTTCTCTTGGCTCTCCTCAACTCCCCAAACCAAAACAGAACTGTGTTCTCCTCTCTAGGGGCTTACAGAGTATGGATGAGGTAGCACTGGGGGGTCCCTCCCCAGCCCCTGGAGAGGGACCCCCCCCACTGCTCCTCCGGCTTCCACTGCCAGCATCTGAAGCGGCGCTGCCAGAGGTAGAGGGCTGGACAGGGGTGGCAGGTGAAGCAGGCATGGTGGAGGGTGCAGAGGCAGGGTCTGGAGTAGAGGGGGAAGAAGCAGTGGCAGCAGCTGGATCTTGAGCCCTGGGGGCAGAGAAAGGAGAATCTAGTTGGAGTGCACAGCCCAAGAATAGGGAAGGCACCACAAAGATCAGATCACTGTTTCTTTGCTGGGCAGCTACTACCCTAACTATGACCCTGAGGCAGGAAAGGGAGGGGAAGGGGAGGTCAGTAAACTGGAGAGCTAGGGAGGAGCTAGTATTATCTGTCTTCAGGGCATTCTGGGAGGGGTGAATCAGAATCCTTTCGCTAGGAAGGCCTGGAGGGAGGTGAGATTATAGTGCTGCCTGAAAATACATCCAAGATCCACCTTCCCAGGCCTTGGCATATAGGCCTTCTAGGTTCGATGAGCTGATGGTTGAGAAAGCCTATGGGGAAGTGAGAGTGACAGGCCCAATCAGAAGCTGGCCCTGCCCATCTCCTGAACTTACTTCTGAGGGGTCTTGATGACCAGATGGACAGTGAGCCCATCCTTGATCCCATGCTGGTTCAACGTGTCCCCATCTTTGAGAATCTTGCCAGCAAAGATCAAGACGAGCTGGTCTTGCTGGGCCTTAAACCTCCGGGAGATTTCCTCTTTGAACTGGGATCAAGAAAGAGAGGTCCCTGTGGAGGCTGCCTGGGCTCCACCCACTAGGGACCCTGCCTCTTCTTCCAGAACTTTTACATTCCCTTGCTCCCACCTCTAGTCATAGGAAACCCTTTCTTCACTCTCTGCTGCATTTCTCAAACTGCAATAAGCAGTTCCTTTCTGAACCAAGGAAATGGACCAATGAGAGGCTTCTCTCTCAGTTCCCTAGAAAGCCCTTGCTGCTACCTGCCACACCACCTTCAGTCCCTCCAGCCCACTCCCTGTGAGGGCACTGCCTGGGCAGCCCTTCTCATCCCAACTCCTTAAACAGCCTTGGACCCAGGCCCTATCTCACTTCAACCATTTCTTCTCAGATCTCTCTTTATTCCGTTCCTGCTCCAGCATTCTCTGAACTACAACAACAAATAGACCCCAGTTATGAAACACTTTCTATTCACCAGTTAACAGTCTAAGTCCCATAAGATAAGTACTAATTACTATTTCCATTTTTAAAATGAGAAAAGTAAGGATCAGAGAGGTTAAGTAGTTTATCCTGAGCAGAAGGGGACTCAGGCCTTGACCAGCCTCTTAATTACTCAGCCAGACATAATGCCTCCTCTCAACTAGAGCTGATTTCAAATTCTGCTGTGCAGGAAAAAGGATTTAAATTCTGGAATGGAGTCATTTTATAAGAATGGGAGGCAATGGTGACAACAAGGCCTGCCTACGGAGAGCTGGAATCCCCAAACTCTTATCATGCCCTCCCCCTAAAACAATTAGACACTCCGAAGTGAAAACAGTACACTTGCTAGGCAAAGACAGTTTAGAGTCCCTCTCTTCCAACCAGATAGTCTATCTTAAGCCCCGCCTATGTGAAATTTTGGGGCAGCCATTGAGGGTGAAGAACATAGTCAATAATCTATCATTCAACAAATTTTTATTGAGCACGTATTGCACACTGCCTAAACCTCTGAGGAGCTGAGAATCAAAAGGAACCACCTCAATTTGAAAGAGTAGAAAGGATCTGGGCAGAGGTAAATCCTCCCCTAACCATGGCAGGTTTTCTCCCAAGACGCTGGGCATACAGGGAAGCACACAGTAGGCGCTTAGGCACTTTCCTTCTGCATCCCCCCCTCCCCCGACCCTTCTCGTTCAGCACCTTGCTGTGCCCCCTAATCAGCCTTGGCGCCTTGAACCCCTATCAGTCACCGAAGCGCACACTCCCCTCAAACCTAGGGTCCTTCTCCGTTCGCAAGGCAAGGTGCCCCCTCTCCACTCTCCACCACGCCCCCAGCTCTGGCCACACGGTAAACCCTAGGCCCCCCCACGCGCGCCACATTCCCCCAGACCTACTCTTCGCAGAGCGCCCCCTACCAACCTCTCCTTCCCTCCAGCTTCTAGGGGTCCTAACTGGACCCTCGCCCTTCTCTCCAGGGCCCTCCGGGACGCCCCGATCGTCACTCTGAGCCCCCCCATCTCCTCATAGGCACCTCCTCCGCGATTGGCCCCCGCGCCCGTACTACCTCCTTGACCGAGGCTCGATCGCAGATCACAATTTCCTCCTTGTCCTTGGGGGTCTTGACGGTGACCCGAATGGGGGGCCTCGTCTCAGCCCCGCTCGGCTCCGCCATGCCGCCGCCGCCGCCGCCACCCGGCCGCCCGCCAGCCCGCCCCGGCTCCTCCTCCTCCTCTTCCCCGCCCGCCCGGCCGGCCCGGCACGGCTCGGGAGCCTCTAACACTCCCTTCTCCCCTCCCCTCCCCAAGGCTTGGTCGCCCCCTCCGGACCAGCCGCAGCCACAGCGCCCCGGGCGGACTGGGGGGGCCACTGCAGCGAGGTCCGCCCAGGGCCCAGCCCCGGGTTCGGGAACTAGGACCAGGGCCTTGCCAGGCCGTAGCCCCTGAAGGGGCTCTGGGCTGGGGCGGGGCGTGTCCTTCAACTCCGGGGCGGAGAGCAGAGGGCGGGTTCGGTGTGAGAGACCACCGCCCACCATAGCTCGCCCGAGCGCGCCGCGGCCGGGTCTAGCCCAAGGCTGCCCCCGCCCCCTCCAAGGGTAACTCCCGCTCCGGGACAAAGGACTTTCTGTGTCGCCGCTTTATCACCATCCCCTGTGATAACTTGGTCGTTCTTGAGAGGCCCAGATACCTTCCAGATCTTCTCTTTCTCAATTTGGAGGTTGAATTTTCCCACCTCTGGCGTCCACCTAGGAACTCATCTCTAGGATTGACCCTCTTCCCCCGAGGGTGGTGGCTTCAATGAAGAACGATTAAACATTGTTTTAGAGATCTGAATTTTGCCTGCATGGGCTTTCTGAGCCTAGGTTTCCTCAACATAATAATTCCTATAGCCTCATCTCACAGCATTGCGTGTAACACATAGAAAACTATTTTGGAAAGTAACCAAAGGTGTGCCTGACAAATATAGAGATTTTATTATTATTATTGAATCGTGGATTGCCAAGAGAACATGACGCCTTCTCGCTCCTCGAAGGGGTTAAATGTCATCCCAGTACTTCTACGGGCCTTTTCCTCCCGCTCTTTTCCCCCCACAACCGCGTGGTCGGACTGGAAAGGCAAGCTATATAGTTCCCAGGGTGCTTCGCGAGGGCACAGGAACTACAATTCCCAGGACCCTCCGAGGTGGAACGGAGCTAAGTCAGAACCACAATAGCCAGGCCAGGAAACTACAACTCCCAGGGCGTTTCGGAGCACGGCAGCTGGTCTACGGGAAGTGGCAGGCTCAGACCAGCGGGAGGCAATCCGGGGTATCTGAGTGCAAAATCCTGGGTCAGGAGCCGCAGGCATGCTGCGCCCCAAGGCTTTGACCCAGGTGCTAAGCCAGGCCAACACTGGAGGAGTTCAGAGCACCCTGTGAGTGCGGACCGAGGACTCGAGCAGCGCGCGCTGGACCCGGAGTGGGGCGGCGAGCGGCTCTCTGAGGGAGGGGTGGGTTAGGATCGCCGGGAAAGAAAGAGGGTGCAGAGCGGGCAGCAGCTGGGAAAACTGGCCGGGAGGGGCTTTTCTCAAAAAAAGAAGCTGGCGTGCTTGGTGTTCGGGGCATGTTCCGAGACACACTCAACCCAGACCTTTAAGTTTTAGAAGCGCCAGTGGCGGGAGTTGGGATGGGAACCCCGGCTTGTTGATAACCCTCACCGCCCCTCGCCAGGCTGCTGAATAATGAGGGATCGCTGCTGGCCTATTCGGGTTACGGAGACACGGACGCCCGGGTCACCGCAGCCATTGCAAGTAACATCTGGGCCGCCTACGACCGGAACGGGAACCAAGCATTTAACGAAGACAATCTCAAATTCATCCTCATGGACTGCATGGTATGGAAAGGGGAGCCTGGCTTACTCTGTTCTGCGAGGGTATCCCCAGGGGGCAACCCAGATCCCATCCTGGATGGTCGGAGGGCTAGAGTAGGATCTCCTGAAAAATCTTAAGAGTTGATCTGAAGCAGCATTTATAATAGGCAGGGCTCTATGCATCAAGTAGTGGTGAGGAAGGAGTTCTGGCCTGGAGCTCTCACTAGGTTTTGCTCTCAGCCAGCCATTTATCATTTGTGGGACTTTGGGTAAGTCACTTAACTTCTCTGAGCTTCCTCATTTCTAAGGTGGAAACGATAACACACACAGACACCCTTCCGTAACTCACTGGGTTTTTGAAGATCATATGAAAGAATAAACTACCAAGTGATGTGCAAACACAAGGTGTTGTCATCCCAGCTGCACTGACTCAACAAAACTATAAAGTTGGCAGGGTCTCCAGGCCCTAGTCCATTCCCTTCTGTTTACAGAGAAAGGAAATAAAGTCTGGAAAAGGGAAGTGGCCATTAGACTGTGAATTCCTTGGGAGCAGGGACTGTCTTGCCTCACTCAACCTTTGTATTTGTTTATTCAACAAGTATTTACTAAGTCTCTGTGGTAGCCTTGGGACTCGGGGAGGTGAGGTAAGTAGCGAACAAAACAGGCAAAAATCTCAGCCCTCAGGAAACCAGTAAGTAAAATACAGAGTATGTTGTTGTTATTATGTGCCATGGAGTCGGACCTGACTCATAGCAACCCCTCCTTGGGTTTCCCGAGGCGATATCACTACAGAAGTAGATTGCCCCATCTTCCTTCCGAGGAGTGGCTGGTGGGTTTGAACTGCCAGCCTTCTGGTTAGCAGTCAAGGGCCTTAGCCACTATGCTACCAGAGCTCCCACAGAGTATGTTAGGTGGTAAAAATTCTGTGTAGCAAAATAAGCAAGAAAGGGTGTGTGAAGAGCTTGTGCCAGACAGTCTTACTAAAAAGGTAATTGATTGAAGATCTGAAGGAGGTTGGAAACTAAGGCATGTGGCTATGTGGAGGAAGAACATTTCTGACAGAGAAAACAAGTGCAAAGGCCCTGTGGCAGAATGATGCCTGGTCAGGGAACACCAAGGCTAATGGGACTGGAATAGCATGAGCATGGGTGAATAGTAATAGTAGTAGATGAGGCTAGAGAAGCATCTGACCCAGTACAGAGTAGCTCTCTACTGAAGCATTGCTGAACCAAATTAAATAGACCTCAAGGGTAAACTCTCCAGAAAGGGTCTTCACTATAACTTGGCTACCTCCTTCTTCCCTACCCTCTGTCCAATCAAGGATGCCATTTCAGTTCAACAGATGACCTCAAGGGGTGCCTAGCCCAGAGCTAGTGCTATAGGGTAATGACATTTTTTTTAATCACAACCTAGTCATAAAAAATATATTTTATGTCATAATCCAATACACACATATACCCACTAAAACAAAAGCTTCATGAAATGCTATGTGCAATGCTTTTCATTTCTCTCCTTTTTTTTTTTTTAAATGCTGATCAAACTTTTAAATTGATCTCCTAACCCTGGAGCCAAACTTGGCAGTTTGCAAAGCATTACTAAGGGAAAAGAAGAGAAATACAAGCTTGCTGCTCCAAATCCCTCTTTGGGTTGAGCCTATAATAATAGCATCACCCATTTGGATCGCCCTTTGCAGATACAAACTCCTTTGTGTCTACTGGCACTCCTATCAACTGAAGTGAGGTAAAGATTACAGGAAGAGAAACCAAGTTTGGGAGATTAAGTTTCCCAGAGCAGCCTAGTTAAAAGATGGCTATACTGGGGCTAGAACCGACACTCAGGACCCTATGTCCGGAGCTGTAGCCAAAGCCCCCCAGCTGAATTTCCTGCTGTATCCAGGGCATGGGTCAGAGGGACTCCTTGGGGAAAAAGGAGGCCGAGGGTGCCAAGAAGAACATCACAACCCATCATGTTCCCTCCCCTACCAGGAGGGCCGCGTGGCCATCACCCGAGTGGCCAACCTTCTGCTTTGTATGTATGCCAAGGAGACTGTGGGCTTCGGAATGCTCAAGGCCAAGGTGTGTATGCAGCCATTCCTCCACGGTCCTGGGCCTGGGTTTGTGTTTCATCACCGGGTCCACTCCCACACTTACTACCTTGCTGGGGCCTTTTGTCACCCACCCAGTCCGTCTGTGCCTGGTGTGGTCTAACTCCCAGGAGCAGATGAAGGCTGAGACTGGGTGTTCAGATCAGATGGCAGTGGGGGTATGTTCCTGGATCTCAATTCCCTTTAGCAGAAGGCCAATGTGAGACTGATACCTGCTTCCCCTCTTGCAGGCCCAGGCCTTGGTGCAGTACTTGGAGGATCCCCTCACCCAAGTAGCGGCATCATAAAGGTTTATCGATGGAAGCTGAGATCAGAAAAGAGATGACCATTTAGAGGGGCAGGGCCCCTTGGGAAAACCTACTTGAGCTGTGGTGGGAGGATGAGACTTTGTTTGTCCCAGAATAAACTTAAACTCCTATCTTGTGTCTTGGCTGCTTTCTTGGGTGGGAGGGATTTGGAGGAGGTAGGAAGGACCAGGGATCGCTCATAGGTAGGATTCCTCATGCTCTTCGAGGGCAGATTTCTACCCACTCCTTTGCCATGATTTCCCAAAAACAAATGGTTTTTGGCAGTGTGCCTGTGCTCCCTTGACCTCTCTGGTGGTATGACCTCACCCCGCACCTGCCTCTCAGCAGAATCTGACCCACCTGGATGGCAAAACCTTGGGAAGAGCTCACAGGAGCAAGGGCCTTCTTGTTGTTATGTACCATCGAGTTGGACCCGACTCACAGCGACCCCTCCTTGGGTTTCTGAGGCAGTATCACTATGGAAGTAGATTGCCCAACCTTCCTTCCAAGGAGTGGCTGGTGGGTTTGAACCGCCAGCCTTCTGGTTAGTAGTCAAGTGCCTTAGCCACTATGCTACAGAGCTCCTGGAGCAAGGGCCTACTGGGAGTCATATTGGGCAAAGAGTTCAGTGTCCATTCCAGGCTTGGTGGAGGGGTGTGGTGCTCCAGGCCACTTACAGGGGGCCAACACCTCCTTCCTTTTCTCCCAGGCATTCATAGACTCTCTCTGGCTCTTGAGGTGTTGTTATTTTTTTTTTTAATGTCGATAGAAAATTTTATAATAGAAATGAATATAATGCAACAAAGGATAGTCTAATATATGATGCAAATACAGTAAAAGAAAACTATTAAACAATGAAGACAAATCTGTACGTTATAATACATTGTCATGATTAAAATTGTCAAAGACTTCATTTTACTTGGATCCTTGGTTCCATAGTAACACTCAGGGAACAGCAGTCAGGAAAGCAGATATCTTACTGCACTGAGCAAATCGGCAGCAAAAGTCTTCTTTAAAGTGTTAAGTGGAGATGTGGCTTTGAAGACTGGTGTGCCTAACCCAAGCTGTGGTACTTTCAATCGCCTCATATGCATGTGAAAGCTGGACAATGAATGAAGAAAACAAAGAAGAGTTGATGCCTTTGAATTGTGGTGTTGGTGAAGAATACTGGAAATACCATGGACTGCCAGAAGAATAAAGTCCTGGAAAAACTGCAGCCGGAATGCTCCTTGGAAGCAAGAGTAGTCAGACTTCATCTTAACTATTTTGGTCATGTTGTCAGAAAGGACCATTCCCTGGAGAAGGATATCATACTTGGTAAAGTAAAGGGTCAGCAAAAAAGGATAAGACCCTCAGAGATGGTTCGACAGCAGCTGCAACGTTGGACTTAAGTTTAGCAAGGATTGTGAGGGTGATGTAGGACCAGGCAGTGTTTCATTCTATTGTACGTAGGGTCACTATGAGTCGGAGCCTACTTGATGACACCTAACAACAACACAGACATGATAGATTATCCCAAGTAGGTTGTGTGGCTCTTAAGGCCTTTTGCAGACAGGAAGACTTTGCTGTGAAGCCTCAGGTCCTGGGAAGGGAGTAAAAGAAACCCAAAAATGGTTCTCAGAGGCCTACATCTCCAAATCCTGACCCTACACTCAAACCCCTCACCCCAACTAGCTATTTCTGCCCTTGATCTCCCCCTACCCTGGGCAATGACTGTACAGGGAACTACTAGCCCTTTTCTCCAATGTCGTAGTAAGGGACCCGTCTTAGGGAAGCAGTCAGGCTGCAAGTCCCAGCTCCACCCCCGGTGAGGAACACTGCCCATCCCAGGCCCTGGGCTGCAGGGAGGGGCAGAAGTGGCTATGCTGCATCTCCCACAGCTCTGTACTGAAGCAGGGGAACTGGCACCCTGTCGGCCCCAGACCATGGCCCCCACAGCCCTTCCTCTAGAGCCCCCAGTCCACTTACTCAGAGGCTCTTTGCACCTTGCTCTGAAGGAAAAGCAAGAGGCCAAGTGGGTTTCTGCTTCCTGAGAGGCTTTCCAACAAACTGGTTGCTGGGCCCCCACTGGCCACAGGTCCCAGGATCCCTGCAGTGTGCACTCAGCCCTCAGCTGACTCTACATAGGTTCTGTCCCCATCTCCATTCCACTACTACCACCCCTTAAAAACTCACTGCCATGGAGTCGAATCCAACTCACAGCAACCCTTCCTTGGGTTTCCGAGGTGGTGTCACTATGGAAGTAGATCGCCCAATCTTCCTTCCAAGGAGTGGCTGGTGGGTTTGAACCACCAGCCTCTGGTTAGCAGTCAAACACCTTAGGCACTACGCTACCAGACCACCCCTTGGAGCCTGCTTACCTGCTTTCAGGAGCCCAAGCTGAGAGCAGACACCCAACCTGTCTAACCTGTATGACGCAATCGTCTCTCCACCCACCTGGGCCCCAGGTCTCCAGCTGCCCGCTCTTCCTGTTCTCAGCTTCCGTCCTCTCAGCTTCCTTACTGTACCCACACCTGCCAGAGCTGAGCCTTCCTAGACCCTGCCTAGTCTTGAGTCTGCCCAGAATCCTTCTGGCTGCAGAAGCTCCTTAACCCCAATGAGAGGAGGGGCGGGTCCAAGTCTCTTGAAAGCCGGGGGCTAAGGGCACTGAATCAACACACAGACCCATCACCTCTGCCCTCAAAGACACTTAACACCCTCCATGCGGAGCCAAGATGGGGAACAGAACTGAGGAGGATTATAACTTTGTCTTCAAGGGTGAGTTGGGGTTCATGGGGAGAAAAGAAGGCTGAGAGAGACCCAGGAAGAGCGACAGAGCTAAGGAGGGCCTCCTCCGTTTTTATCTCTTACTGGAAGCCCCTTACCTGTCCCCCCCTCCCCCAGGGCTCAGCATTCCTTCCGGATAAGAAAGCAAGCTGTGGGGAGTGGGGGAGGGTCTGGCTACAAAGATAAAAGTCTCAAGGCTCTACCGTTGTAAATAATGATGTTGCTCATTCCTTAATAGTGCTGAGTTAGGCTCCCCTGCCTGGTTCCTAATGGAAGTCCAAGTCCCTGGGAATAGTCTGTGACTGCAGCACGAGAGATGGAGGTCAGACTTCAGAAAAGACTTCCCTCCTAAGAAGAGAAGAAAGTCGTATTCCTGGGCAGGTGTACAGGAAAGGAGAAACTTATGCCATAATAGAACTGGGTGAGGATAAGGAAGATGTAAAGAATTGGGAGCAGGGTCTGATAGAACCCAGAGGGCCCCTCTATGACCTTGTTTGCATATTCCTTGGCAAACCCCTCAGATCCAGAGAGCAGACACCAGGTTCAGCTGGGCTGTCTCTGAAAGTGTTCATATATCTTCCAGCTTTATTTTGCTGTTTGACCCCTTTATTGACCCTCCTCCCCCCTTATATACACACTTCCACACCTCCTTCAGGGCAGAGTGGATGGCAGGGTTCTGATTCTCTACCCAGTTACTCCACCCCACTGCCTCTCCCAGCCTCAGCCCCACCCTCACTCAAACTGGGACTGTCAGCTGAGCTGGGGTTGGGGAACCTGTACTCCCAGCACATTCTGGGAAGAGAAGACAGAATAAGGGATACCAATAGTCTAAGACAATAATATACTAAAAATTACTATTTATTGAGCCCTTACTGTGAAAGCTCTATGGAATGTAGTTCTACTCTGACACACATAGGGATGCCCTGAGTCGGAATTAACTAGACAGCAATAGGTTTGGTTTTTGGTTTATTATGCTCCAACTACTATCTCATTAGAAGCTCTGGTAGCATAGTGCCTAAGGCACTTGACTGCTAACCAGAAGGCTGGTGGTTCAA